ACAGAAAACTTGCTAACAGAATGAACCACAAAATCCTCAGGAATCGCATCGATTCTCTTTTATTCTTCCATGATGAAGATACCTCTATTGGATTTTTTCATGGTTATATAAATAATATCTGCTTCTGGTAAAAAAAAAAAAATTAAACAACACAGAAGCATATTGGGGAGAAAAGTCGGGGTCAGCTGCCTCTAGACGTGACCACTCCCTGCTTTCCGTGGCCAGTTTTCACACACTCACACTTCTCACACACACACCTGTGCAATTAATACAGAGATGGAACCATGTTACACAGGCTGCGGTTTTCTTTCTTTCTTTTTTGTCACAGTTTGCGAATTCATCTTGCTGTCTCCTCCCTAGACCTCCATCCCCGGGTACCCAACGTCAGTAGCCTGTCACATCTGACAGGCTCAGGCAAGTCCCTATGCTCCTATCTCCCTCTCCTACTCCTGGGAACCATCTCACCACACTCCAATAGCTGGGCCCAAACACTGTTTCAGTCTCTCTTCAATATCCCAGAGAAAATGATCCTGTAAAACCAAAGTCACTTCTCTGATAGAAATGGTCCAAGAGTTTCCCCTGTCTCATCAACATAAAAGCGAAGGCTTTGAAGTGACCTGCAAGGTCCTGCATGATCTACCCCTGTAACATCTCCAACCAGTCTCCCTTTCGTCCTCTCTGTTCGAGACCTACTGTCCTCCCCTGCCACAGTGCCTTTGCACCTGCCATTCCCTCTGCCTAGTCCACTCTTTCTCTAGATATCCACAAGGCTTATTCCCTCACCTCCTTCAGATCTACATTTTAATATCACCTTCTCAGGGAGGCCTTTATTTACCACTCCATTTAAAACTGTGCAACCTTTTCCCCATCATTCCTTTCCCGTCCCTTGTTTTCCTCCAGACACCTATCTCCAGCCAACATCCCATATGTTTTACTTATTTATGATCCGTGTCACCCCACCAGGAGGGAGGCTCAGGACAATAGGGTTACTGATTCTGTTCTGTGCATTGCTGTGTCTCCAGCACCTGCCCAGGTGAGTGTTGACTAAGAATTTGTTGAATGAGTGAATTGTGGCTTTTTCAGGGTTAAGCATGGGGCCTAGATAATCTACAAGTCCTTGTTCAGTAATTGCAAGTTTGTCCTACAGCTACATTTTCAAGGTCAAATGGTTCCACAAGCCTTGCTGTTCACGAGAGCAAGCAGATGACCTTTTTTTTTTTTTGGCTGAGGAAGATTGGCCCCTGAGCTAACATCCGTTGCCAATCTTCCTGGTTTTTTTCTTTTTTATGGGCCACTGCCACACCGTGGCTGCTAACAGACGAGCAGTGTAGGTCCCCGCCTAGGAACTGAACCTGGGCCACCGAAGCAGAGCATGGTGAGCTTAACCACTAGGCCACCAGGGCTGGCTCGATGACTTTTTATTCTTAGGGTACACTCTCTCCTCCTCAGACTCCAGAAGCAACAGGTTGCTCTTCTCCAGCTAAGTTAATAGTGCAGATGCTCCAACATCGGCTCCACACAAAATCTGGGGGTCCCTTGCCTCTGAGGCCTTGGAAGGGTCTCACACGGCCTTCCCCATCAATGTCCCTTAATCAAGGCAATCTTTCAGCTCAGCCTCAGCTGTGGGCTTCTGGCTGGCAGTCCCACATGATGGGCATCCTGGACTGTTGACCAACACTGCAGTTCACTCTGTCCCCTCCTGTTCCCTGGCTGGGGAGAGTGATCCAGAAATGTCAGCCTTCCTCCCAGGGCTCGGGGAGGTGACCGCGGCAGGGAGCCTGAGCCTTTGGTCGGTTCGTTGGTCTTTTGTTTTGGTTAGCATCTTTGTCTTACCCTGGATGGTTATTGTGTAATACGGACTGGCTTTTAAAAGCTTATTACCTGGACAATAGATGTAAGGCAACGAATGGAGGAAAATCCACCTTCTCTGGAACTGTAATTTGTTCTACATTTACCTTGTGGAAAGTGGCAGGATGGGGGTGCGGTTGGGGAGACAGCTGATCGAGGGCTCCCCTGCCCCTGGTTTGAGACCTTCTGACATCTGGCCAGAGAGTCTATGAAAGATACACACACACAAAGAGACACACACACAAAGAGACACACACACAGTATTCACAACCCAGATGGCAGGAGTCTGAGTGCCAAGCTCTCTCTGGCAAAAGCCTGTCTGCCCCCACCTCCTACCATATCCAGGATCACAAGCGCAGGGGACTAGAAATTTCTGAATGCTGCCTTTGGCCCTGCTGTTGGAACACTCTCTAGAAGCTAATACATATTCCAGCTGCACCCCCAGGCCAGTCCAACCCACCGGCCCCCATCTCTCCCCCTCCCTTGCCTCCCTGGCGAAGGAAGGGCCAGCCCCTTTTCAAAGCTTTCTACCCTCCTCTTCCAGGGAAAAGCAGCCCAGACTTGTCGACAGCGAGGACAGGAAGGGAAGGAGACCAGGCCGCTCCACCACGCCCAAGTCCCTGCCAGCCCACAGGCAGATGGCTCCCTCCATCATGGGAAGGGGGGAGTGACCACGGTGGACATCGGCTCCTCAGTCAGTTCCACATTTGGAGGATTATCTTCTCCCAGGGTTCAGGAGGATTAAGTTTCTAAAAACTAAAATAGCACTGATTTAGGATAAGGTGAAGGTGGGAGCACTAGTGAAATCTTTAGTTCCACGAGCTGTAGAATTTTTTCAATGTAATTATGTCTCTTTCAATTACCATAGAGTAAGACGAACTCCAGGGTAGACATTATACCTAAAGTGGTTCATTTAATACTCACAAGCATCTGCAAGGTAAACACGACAATGCCATTTACACTGGTCATTGAACTGAAGTTCAGAGGGTTAGAAGCTCACAGCTGGTAAGTGGTATTCCTGTAAGTATTTACACTGAATTGATCTTGCATGGATGGATGGATGGACAGACAGATGGACGGACGGATGGACGGACGGATGGACAGATGGATGAGCTGGCAGATGGATGGACAGATGAAGAGCAGAAGAAAAGGCCACTAAAACCACATAACTTCCCAATTAGCTAAACTAATGAAATAGAGGGGCTATTTAAAGGACTGAATTCGACTGATGGGTAATTAGCATTTCCGCAGTTAGGAAAAAGAAAGAGGAGGCCAGGGGAGGAGAAACTGCTATTATGAGAACCTGTGCTCTGGAGCCAGACGGCCGAGGTTCACTCCTCAGACCCACCGTTTACCAGCTGGATAACCTCGGGCTGGTTATTTAACCTCTCCGTGTCTCCGTTTCCTTGTCTGTAATATCGGGATATTATAACTCATACAGATGTGGCAAGAATTAAATGTTACATAAAATAACATATAAAGCATTCAGAACTTTGCCCAGCACCTAGCAAGTGCTCAATGAATGTTGCTATTGTCACCCCCACTCTGCAGGAGGAAACTGCCGCCCCAGGAAGGTGAGGATGCTTATTCTGTCATTAGTCCAGTCATGGCGCTGCAAGAACACTGGAGCCAGCTCTAGCCAAACAATCTTCAACTGTGGTGAGGATCCAGATTTTAGGTAAGATTTCTGAACTATAGCTTTTTAGATAGAGGCAGAGGAAGAGACCTCGCTTCGTCACAGCCTGATACACATTATACCAGTCGCTGTTATAGGAGTTGAGAGAAACTCCACAGGGATTGAGAAAAAGATAGAGCTGCATTATATTTAAACTGCTACAAATACTGTTAGGCAAATAAATGTTATCAATTATCAATTATCATATTGCTCAAGGCTCCTTATTCAAAGACCATGATAGATTCAGAACTCGAGGAGTTTATTCCCTCTGGAGAACTTCCTAAAACAGGTCAAAAATCCCAAAAACCCTTGGAGCCAGACGCATTTCCGAATTTAGAATTTTCAGACTTTTGCGAGATACTAGAGTGCAGACACTCTACTGTGTGATTTCCCCTGGAGGTCTGGGCCAGCACCTTGTGATTAAACATCCTAATAGCTCTGCGGAGAAGTGTGTATGTGAACTGAATGTTTACATTGAGTGGGACACATAAAGACTAGAAGCAGGCCAGCACCAGCTCAGGTCGGGTTTTGCCACCAAATTAGTTACTTGCAAACAAATAGGAAAGCTTTGAGCTCCCAGAGCTTTCTGGCAGTCAGAAGGGCACACTGAGGACTGTGGGCCCGTGGAGAATAATGAGCTGTGCTCCCCTCACCCAGGCCGCTCGGAAGAGCTTGGTTTGTGTCTCACCAGGGTTACTGAGCGCTCACCACACGGGCGCTGTTCTAGGCTGGTTTACTGAAGTGTAGCATGTGGCTCTCCAAACAACTACAAAGGTGAAGCAACCGGCCCAAGGTGCCTCGCCAGTGAGGGTGGCGCTGCTACTTAACGTCGGGCATCTGAGAATAGTTGATGAAGGCTCCCAGCCAGGAGGGTATTTCCAATATTTTTTTCCTTCTTCCCTCACTTTTTATTTTTGGTTCCTATCTTTTAATAATAGCTTTTGACATTCTTTTCTCTGTGTTTTTCACTGAAACTAGTAGGTAGAGGAGGTTTCACAAAATTTTTTTTAATTATCCCATATTTTTTTTTTTTTTTGAGGAAGATTAGCCCTGAGCTAACATCTGCTGCCAGTCCTCCTCTTTTTGCTGAGTAAGACTGGCCCTGAGCTAACATATAGGCCCATCTTCCTCTACTTTTTTTTTTAAAAGATTTTATTTTTTTCCTTTTTCTCCCCAAAGCCCCCCGGTACATAGTTGTATATTCTTCGTTGTGGGTCCTTCTAGTTGTGGCATGTGGGACGCTGCCTCAGCGTGGTTTGATGAGCAGTGCCATGTCCGCGCCCAGGATTTGAACCAACGAAACACTGGGCCGCCTGCAGCGGAGCGCGCGAACTTAACCACTCAGCCACAGGGCCAGCCCCTCTAGTTTTTTTTTAATACGTGGGATGCCTACCACAGCATGGCTTGACAAGCAGTGCCATGTCCACACCCAGGATCCAAACCAGTGAACCCCGGGCCACCAAAGTGGAATGTGAGAACTTAACCGCTGTGCTACCAGGCCGGCGCCAATCCCATACTTTTTTACAACACGGGCTTTAAATCTTTCATGAGATTTTGGGGATGTAGCAGTCAGCTTTTAACAATCACTGCAAACACTAACAGTGGACTCACCAAGACAACTTCTAAGTGAGTAAAGAGAATCCTACTGAAATGAAAGCACAGACAGGGAGATGAAGAGTTCACTCCCAGGACCTCAGGTGGTTGGAGAAGGTTAAATGCAGGCTCTCAGCTCACTTTTGCAAATAAAGGCTCTCTTTTGGTTTTCCCAACCCACCGACCCCCTTTGGCTACATGCTTGTGTATAGCACCAATGCCATGAGCGGCACAGTGCAGGATGCAGAGCTGTTACTCTGGAGCTGGGGGCCATGAAGCAGATGGAGAAGGTAAAGGAGGGCGTTCTAGACTAAAGAAATTGCATGGTGTGATTGGAGAACGCAGACGGGTCTGGCGAGGCTGGAGCTGAGCCCACAGGCAGGAGGTGGAAATCAAGGGGCTGCAGAAATAGTCTGGAGCTGATACTGCAGGGCTCCAAATGCCAGACTCAGGGATGTGCTCTTCACCCCCAAGGGCCCTGGAAACCCCCTGGAGGCCGTGGACACAGGCACCCCAAGGACACTCGAGACCTATCTGTCTCGCTCACAGCCATATCCCCAGGAGCTGGCACATAGCTGGGGCTTAGTGTACATTTGTCGAAGGAAGGAATGAAAGGATGAACAAGTGACTAAATTTATGCTGGAGAATGTATTTGAATATAGAGGATGGGGAGGAGGAGACAGCAGGCCCTGTTAGGAATTCACAGCTAGAGTCCAGGTGTGAACTAACGAGGGAAAGCTGTGGTGACAGCATGGACCGGAGAGGACACAGCCAATCAACAGTGATGGCGCACTCCACAGGACTTGTCAACCAATGGGATAGGGTGTCTAGAGGGCAAGAGGCCTCAGAGACACCTGGCCAAGCATCCTGGTGAAGAAGGGAGAAGGCGGGGAGGGCTCTCCTCAATGGCTGCGTGGGAGAAGAAACCTTTCAGGCTTGGAGATGTAAGATGCTCCAGGGCCACCCCGGGGAACAGGATTCGCATGCTCCACTGAGCAGCTGTGTGGGGAGCAGCCAGAGCTGGTGAGAAACGTCCACAGTGGCCAAAGCAAGAACACATTATGGCAGACTCCCACAGAGCTCAGTCTCCCTGCAGCTCTTTCCCCTGGTCACCATGCTGCCCAGCCCCTCCCTCAGGACGCACCCCTGGAGACAGAGGGGCAGCCAAGAGCAGGAAGGGAAGCAGGGATGGGAGGGGCCTGCAGGCTCTTGAGCAGCAGTGGGTGGTGCCAGGCTGGGGACTGCGGGCAGCCACGAGGCAACAGGGAACAAAGGAGGTCGGGAGAGCCCGTCTTCCACCAGCGGAGTCCACAAGCAGGTTCTCAAGCTGCATCAGAGCAGGGGAGGGACTGACCACAGATTCGCTGCTTCCTGGGGAGAGCGTCAGAGGGCTCCTCTTCCCGTGTAGAGGCCTGGTTTTTAGGTCTGGGGTGGTGACGTCATTACCTTGGTGTTCCCTCCACCCTGTTCCAGAAACTTTGAGGGACCTGAGGGAGGAACTAAGGGAACCTCCTGGAAGGAGCTCCTCATGGGCATAAAGCAGCCCCCATGTCGACGGGCCTGGGCAAGGGGCTCCAGGTGGCCCAAGGGACACCCTCAGGGTGATCCTTCTGACAACCAGCCCTCAGCTGACACACGGTCCTCAGACTTTGGAAAGCTGAAATCTGATGCAGCAATGCTGGCTCCTCCAGAAAGACCTACACAGGGGTCAGTGGGTCAGCTCTCCCCAGGCTCACAGAGAAAGCCTAGGCTGAGGGGTGGGTGACTCACCCAGAGTCACAGAAAGAACCAAACAACCCAGAGCCGGACCCCAGGGAAAGGTCCTTTTTTGGAGTGGCCGTTACTCACAGAACATCCCCTCCATAGGATCTGCTCTCAGAGGGCCATAACTTTGGGTTGAAAGGGACACATTTATTGAGCACTTACCATGTGCCAGGCCCTGTGCTGGACACTGGGGATACAGAGACGAATGTGACATGACCCCTACTTTTAAGTTCACAGTTCATTGGAGAAACAGGCATGAAACCAAATAATTAGAACGAGTAAGGCCGTTCTAAGGGTTCAGTGAGATAGGCAGGGACAACAGTAAGTCATTAAATCCTCACACCAACACTTGAGGGAGGGATTATTAGCCCATTTTACAGATGAAGAAACTGAAGTTACGAATCACTGGCCTCAATTCACACAACCAGAGAGAGACACCACCACCGCCGGTGTGCCGGAGCGTGGTCACTCAGGCTGTGCATCTCCTCACTCAGTCCTCACTCAGTGACATCACACAGGTTACTGAAATCCGCCAACAGAGGCACCACAGAGATTGGCAAACACTACAAACCAGGTGACAGTCTGGATTCAGAAAGTCTGGAACCAAAGACGTTTTCCAGTCTCGCCCAGATTCTTTTCTGGATTGAAGCATCCCCTTTGAAAAAGCCTGCCTCCCCAGGAGAATCACGCCAGCCCATCCAGACAAGGCCAAAGAAGACAACGGACGTGATCTGCTTTCTATGTCGCAAGGGGCTTGCAACTAAGTTAACCATCCAGCCCCTTAGTTCTGAGCTAGCATCTTAGTAGACACATTAGGGCCCAGACGTGCCAAGTGGGCCTGGGGTGGGAGAGGATGGGAGCCCAGGAGGAAGAGTGGGGCTAAAGAGGAAAGCAGCACTCCTTTCTCTAGAACGCTAATCTCAGTAAATGTCCTTGGTGGGATTGTTTAACTACTCTCCGTCTCCCCCACTAGCTCCACAAGGACAAGGACTGTGGCGGGTTCTGCTGACTGCTGGAGCCCAGGTGCCTGCCCCAGGTGCCCCAGGCCTGGCAAGCAGGAAGCCCTACATTAACATTTGTTGAATGCATGGATGCAGCAGGAGGGCATCAGAGCTAAACTGTACACAAAGTTGGCACGCCCAGGCCTGCCTCCCCTCCAGCACATTCTATCCGCCCTGTGAGGAAGGTTCCAGCCCTGAGGGGAGGCTGCAGAAGTGCCTGTCAGCCGGCCTGCCAGGGTTGGATCCCATCACCCACTCACCAACCAGGTAAGCTGTGCCGCTGTGTCCTCACCTGTAAATGAGGTTGTGGGGTTGCTGCATGGGTTCAAGGAGTTAACCTTTGTAAAATGCCTGGCACATGGTAAGCGCTGTGTGTTTGTCAAACAGTGGAGGAACCCCCACGCCCCTCCCCAAATCTGTGTGCAGAGATATTTTCTCCTCCACTCTCCAAATGCAATTTTCCAGCCCATTCTACTCCAGAGAGGGCTTCCCCAAGGAAAAAGAGATCCGAGCAATCCTCCTCCTTGCTCCACCCCTCCCCACTCTACCCTGCATCACCCGCTAGCAGCCCAAACCACCCACCTCCATCTCTCTTGAAATGACCCTGAGCCTTATTCAGCCCTGCCGACAGCCCGGGAGCCGCCCCCAGGCTCCGGGAAGGTGCCCCGTCCCCTGGCCTCCTCTCTCCTGCGCCCCCAGGAGCCCGGCTCCCAGCTGGGGATTGGGGAAGGCGGAAGGCAGGATGCGCCGCCAGGATGAAGACCGCACAACGCGGGCGGCTGCGACGCCCAGTGGCCACCTGCGGAATCGGCGGTGGCGGCGGTCTGCAGAGCTTGGATGTCCCGAGCCGGCCCTGGTCGCTCCGGCCCCTGCAGGGCAAAAGGAGAGAAGGCAAAAATAAGGGAAAGTTGACGGGTGGAGAGAATATCACCAAAAGGACTGGTAGGCTCTAGGCCACAAGGAATAATTAATTTAGTCGGGAAAGCAGTGATCCCCGGGCAGGGCTGTAGGCAGGGGCCCTTTTCTCCCTGTCCCTTGCACACAGCCCCTCCCCCCCCCCATAGGAGAATATTTGCCTGGGGGCTGAGGCTCCTGTCCCCTGATATCCCTGGCTTCCTTATTCCAAGCGTTTTACACCCCACTGCCTGGCCTGATGAAGAGACAAAGGGCCCCTGTGGACCTGAGGCCAGGAGCATCTCCTCCCCCTGTGGTGATGTCCGGGGGTTAGGAACCAGGCAGAGTCCAGATTCTAACCCCAGCTCTGCCCTGGCTCTGCGTGCCTGGTGCCCCGTCAGCCTGTGCCTGGATTTCACCACCTGGGAAAGAGGACGATAAAAATAAACGCCTACCCTACTTCTTGCACAGAGGGATTGTTTGACTCAAATGAGTTAATGCTGAGGAAAGCGTTTGGAAAAACAAAAACCATCACTATGCAAAATCTCTGACCCAAAAGCATTTTGGTAACCATGTGACTATAGGCAAATGCAAATACACTTGCTTAAAGAGCAAGACCCTCAAGTCCTGACTATTAACAGCTCAAAGGAGAGATTTTCATTTGGAGAGGAAAGAAAGGAACATGCAGTTGGGATCCAAAAATACAAAGTTCCATATGGGAAATTTAAATGATCAAGAATGTCTTCAGGATTTTACTATATAGAATTTAGAAGGCAGTTCGCTCTTTAGGAAACCAGAGGAATAGACATTACGATCCCCAAAAACATTTGGAGGATGGAGAAGCCAAAAGAGTTATCTAGGATCCTACTCAGAACCACTTCAAAGGGAGAATCACGGAATCATGGGATGTTACCTTGGCCTATGTCGTCCCTGGCAGCGTAGGCATCTATTCCGAGTTTGCATGAACACCTCCACCAGTCTACCTGCAGAGGCACACTGTCGGTATAGGAACAAACCTACAGCTGACCCAGTTCTGATCTCCTCCGAGGTGGAGCCCGGCCCCCGACCATCAGTGCAGTATCAAAGCTACCCCCTCTTCAGAGTCCAGGACCTGGAACCTCTTGACAGGTTGAGTTGACATCAGAGTGAGGAAGCGAAATAAGCAGCGGGCCTGGCGCCAAGTCTCACCCCAAAACGGAGCATTGAGCCAACCAGCACTTACTCAGTGTGTCTATGCTGTGGGCAGAGCGAGAAGACCTGCTCTAGGAGAGAGGCCTGGGGCACGCTGACCAGAGCCTGGCACCTGGCAGGGCAGACACGAGTTTTGGACTTCAGTTTCCCTGGATAACATGTCTCTTAACAGTCCCCTTTGATACAGGGTCCCTGGGCAGGTCCTCATGGCCCCACCGCCTCCCTTCCCCTCTTCCTCTCTCCCTCCCCAGAAAGGGTCCATTCGCTCTCATAGCCCTTGTCTTTCCACCTCCCAGTGGTCATGTCATGACTTGTTCTGCATCTCAGGCTTTTCTTCCCCTTGGCCCACATGCTGCCATGCAATTCCTATTTCCCCTGGGATGGTCTCCCAAAGGGTGCCAGAATTTCTGGGTGTGAACCTTGATATACAGCTCTTCTGAATCCTCCAAGCCAAGGGGGTCATCAGCATTAGTTGAGCGCGACTGTGTGTGTACTCACATGGAGGCAGGGAGAGGGGTCACTCTGATGTCACTTCTCATCCTGTCAGAGGTTCCAGGCCTGGACACTGAAGTGAGGACAGACCCAGACCGTCACCCAGTAGTACTGGGTCCGTCACACCGGAGTACTGGGCTCGGATTAATTCAGCAAGTCCCTGTTGCTCCCACTTCATCTTTAGTGCTATGCAGGGGACTTCAGAGGTAAGATGAAAGCTCTCAGGACTCCCTCCTTGCAGATGGCAGGACACTGATTAGCCCATATTTGCAGGTGGGTGTGGTCACTGTTGTAAAAGGAGGGCTGGGAGGTGACTGGCCCATTGCTCTCCTCCATTCATGCAGCAGATGCAGTTCACTGGTCCATGCTGATGCTCTCTCCCTTGTCCTTCCAGGTGGCAGAGAGAGCACAGGAAGAGCAGAGATTTGGGGAGAATGAGGCCCAGGCTCAGCCCAGCTGACCCGCGTTGGCCATGTGGGGGTGGGGCCCAAGCCCAGCTGCCGCCATGTGACTCTTCTTTCCTCGCTGCTCCTCCTCCAGGTCTCCCTCTGGGACGTTATGGGTGGTAGTTGCTGGGTTTAGGTCTGCCGGGGTCTTCGGGCCGTAACAAATGTATTAGCCCCTCACTACTGCCAAAGCTTTGATAACAGTGCCCCGTGCTCCAGGAGAGGCCATTCGGCAGGAAAGTTAGAGTTGTGCTGGGATACGAGGTAAGAGCTAAAATAAAGTTTATCAGGGGTTTGGGAAAGGCTTCACAGAGACAGCGGAGTTTAAGATTGGCCTTGAAAGATATATAGGACCCCATAGACATTTGGGGACATGGGGACAGGTATTCCAGGCAGAAGAAACAGAGGCATGTTTGGAGAAGAGTAAAGAGTCCAGTTTGGTGCTAAGTGCATGAATATGGACAATGCAAGAAGGTTCTAGAAAGTTAGGTAGAACCTACAGGTTGGGGTCCTGGAATGCTGAGTCAAAAAGTTTTTCTCTGTTTCCCCCATCACCCCAAAGCCCTTGGAGGACAGGGGTTCAGTTTATTCAGCATATGAGCCATGGTGCTCATTGCACCCCTGCTAGGTCCTGCCTCCCAGGTGCTGAGAACACCCCAGGGGAGCAAATGCAGCCCCCACTATCAAGGAATGCTTGGTCCTGGGGGGGAAGGAGGTGACCAAACAGACTCTCCACACGACAGGGGGCCGTCTCTTCTTTGACTCTTTCTCCCACCCCAGCAGGACCTGGCACGGAGAAGACTCTCCATGCATGATGAGTGAGTGAAGGGGGGACGTGTTGATTTTGAAGCATGGCAGCGCATCCAGAAAGCAGCTGGGAACGGAGCGCTGGAGCCCGGGAGAGATGACCGCAAAAGGGCTGTTTCTGGAATTCTGCCCACTCACCTGCAGGTTAACACGAATTACACTAAACCTGACATGGAGAGTACGGGGGTCCCAGAGCTTACAGGGAACGCAAAGAAAGTGAGGAAGCCTCTGCCCTCTCGACACAGCTTAGATTAACAGGAGACATGTCCTTGAGCCCAGGGAGGCTGCTCCCACTCAGAACACATCCCACTGAAGGAAGCAGGACATCGAGTCGCCTGCGCCCGAGGGCCAGACATCCGTCAAAGAGAAAACACTTTCGCTATGGAATGTTCCTGTTCCAGGAAGCACAGAGTCGTGGGGAAAAGGGCAGCAGCCTCCGTGCAGTGCCCCAGACAGCAAATCATATCTCCAGGCTCCAGATTGACAAGGATTCTGTTTCTCCTAATTTGATGCAAGACTTCAGCTCCATCTGAATGCCTGTGGCACTGAGCAAATCAAATGCTGATCCCAAAGTGACATCGAAAATGGAAAGAGCCTGTTTGGGCATAGTTTCTGCTGGTCCTACAAAAGAATTATCTGAATTTCCACTCCAGAGCGCCCCTTCTGGCTCCCCCGGGGGAAGCCAGCCCACTGAGGACTCCTTCCCTGACCCTCCCTCGCCCCTGAAATGCACTTTATCAGTTCTTGTGGACAAATTACTGACATCTATGGCTTCTAGTTGTCTGAAAACACTCGCAAGTAAACAAGCCCGCCCCAGTCAAATTGTAGGGCTTCGCTTTGGAGGTTTCTAGATGCCCCCTTCTGAGCCCTTCCCCCATACGGCCCACCTCTTTAGTGCCTGTGACCTTCAGCTCATCCACCAACGAAACATCCAGGGTTCAGAATCCAGACTGAAAGCTCCAGGAGCGCAGGGGCCGTGTCGTCTGCTCCCTAGTGTGTCCCCAGCATCCAGTACCTCGCCTGGCACACAGTAGGCTCTTTGTAAGTATTTGTTAGGTAGAGTCAACAAACTTTGGCTGAGCCCCTCTCCTGCATAAGATATAAAGATGTACAGGCTGCACTTCCTGCCTTCTGACCCGTCCTTCTTCCTAGGACACAGTGCAGCAAGGGCGGTCAGTGCTCTCCCCAACAAGAGCCCCCTCTGCAGATGAGCCAGGGGGCTCCAGGGAGGTACAGGGGTCAAAGGAGCACCTGCCCAGCCCCTGTGGCTCCCTCTGCCTGAGCATGGCTCTATTCAAGACCCTCTCTTTAAACCTACAATGAATGCAGCCTGGCCTGCCCCCTCCCAACTGTCCTCTTGCCCATCACCCCGGTGCTCCCTGCTCCCTCTGGGATGTTCCCAGGAACGTGTGGCACCATTTCAGAGAGCATGGAATGGCATGGCTTCCTTAGCAACCTGGGACATTTAAGCCACCCAAATTACTTCTGCCTTTGTTTCAGACAACAAAGTAGGAAAGCAGAATTCCTCACCTTCATTGAAAAGCGTTAGTGCCCATTCCCTAGAGACAGACCGAGCAGGTAAGAGGCAGGCTTGATAGCCAGCAGGCTCCGCTCCAATCCTGGCTCTGCCATGTCATTTCTGGGGATGCTGGGGAAAGTTCATCTCTGTTGGCCTCAGTTTTCTCACCTATACGATGGGGATGATATTAATAGTTCCTTCCTCATTGGGATGTTATGAAGATTAAATGAGATAAGCCACGTAAAGCACTTTGAAAAGTGAGTATGCAATAAAAGTTCACTTTTATTACAATTGTTACTGTTACCTTTAATTGCAGGTCAGAAAGGGCCCCACCAGAGGGTGTTTACTCCGATTTACATACACTCTTCCACGCACAGGCTCCCTTTTCTCAGTTCAGGGTGGCTAATTAAACCTTACCCCTCTGTCACCAGGGGGCCCCTCCCCACCTCATCACGGAAACAAGCAGCCCCCAAAGCCAAGGGCTCAACCCAGCATAGTCCAATATCATCAAGAGGAGGGGACATTCTGCTCCACAAAGGCATTCGGGGACCCAGGCCCCTTCCTAGTGGCTCCACCATCTTCCAGGGCCTTGGAGTCCCACCCTGGGTCCCCTGCATCCAACCAGCAAGTGGGAAGAAAGCACAGCGAGGATCGCATGCAGGCTTTAGGAGCACGCTGGGCAGGGTGTTTGTCCCTTTAGCCCCTTCCATTGGCCAGGAGCTCAGCCCCTTGACGCCACCTTACTATAGTGGAAGCTCAAAAACAGCCTTTCCACGTGTCCAAGAGGAAAATAACATCAGTTCGATGAATTCATAGCATTTTTTCTGCTCCCTACTCCTTTTGAAGCGGAGGCTTCTCTAGCAGGAAACTTGAATTTGTTTTCTTTAGGATATTCTCTTAGAAAATAGGCCCACAGCAATGCTCCACGTGTTTCCCCTCAAATCCTGTCGCGGATGATGTCCCATCCCACCTGGGCAGCGGCTGGGGGAGAAGAGGTAATCTTCGGAATGGGGCGGAGCTGGGCCCAGCTCTCAGCTTTGTCCCTCACTCGGCCAGCTCAGCCTTTCTGCGTCAGCGCCTCTTATGAAGTGGAAGTGGAAAACAGGGTGGTTAACCCGAGACAGTACACATAAAGGGCGGCCATGAGTGGAATTTTCTTTGGCCCTCCTCCTCATCTTGTCCTCTCGTCCCCCAACCACACCACACTGTCCTCCCCCAGCTAATGTCCCTCTGAGCAACAGACCAAGTAAGAGTCAGGGCCGCCGGGAGGGGAAGCGTACTTCCACCTACCACATGGCAGGCCGGCCTTCTGGTTTGCTTTTCAGCTGGTCAACCTGATGACTCAGCGAGAGAGGCTGGAGGTCAGGATGGTCTGTGAACGCAATTAAGTGAAGGCAAAATGTGGAAACCCAAATCCCTCGGCCCAACCAACGGCAGCTTGATCCTTTCCATTCCTAGACCCCACCCCCAAACCACCCCCACACTCCATGCTCTGATCCAGATGGCCTGTGGATGCGGGAGCCAAACAGTGTGGGGACTTGGTTGTTTCGTAAGTTCCCACGACTCTGTCCCTGATTGCAAACCCGTTTGGGACATATTCTGAAGCAAGAGGTTGTGCACTAACCACTCGTTCCAAAACAAGCAGAAATCAGGGCTTACGCTTTTTCCCTGCTTCTCGCACTCACTGGCTCCTCCTCACACAACTTGCTTTAAAAACAATTAGTTGGGGGAAAAAAACCAGCGCCCACCTTGTTCACCCCTCGTAACACACAGCAGTCTCCGCTCCACGGCTGGAAACAGAGTCGTCGCTCTCCTAGCAACACGAAGGGCCCCAGCTGCACAGATTCCGCGCTTGGCTTGCAGCAGCCAGCAGCTGGGGGCGTGCATGTTGCTAGGTGAACCTGAACTTGAGTTTAAATTTGCTGCCTTCCTTCGCTGCCACAGCTTTCCTCAGCTGCAAATAGACACATGCTCAACAGCAGGACCCACAGCACTCAGTCCCCCTGGGAAATCCCCAGCTCAGATAAGACAATTGTACCTCTTTTTTTTTTTTCTTTCTCCCTTGATTTTCAAACTGAGCCAACAACCGCAGGAATGAACAAGAATGATGAAGAACTATCCTTTGGGCAGGACTGACTGAGTACCTACTACTGCCAGGCACTGTCCTAGGCGCTGGGGACACAGCTGTGAAGGAAACAGACAAGACCCTGCCCTGGAGAGCCTGCATCTTGGCGGCAGTGGGGGTGATAAACAGTAAAGAGATGTCGTATCCGTCAGGGTTCTCCAGACAGAACCAATAGGAAATATCTGTGTGTGTGTGTGTGTGTGTTTGTGTGTGTGTGTGTATGTGTGTGTGTGTGTGTGTGTGTGTGTGTGGATACAGATATGGATATGGAAAAAGAAATTTATTTCAAGGAATTGGCTCATGTGATTGTGGGGACTGGCAAGTCTGAATTCTGTAGGGCAGGCTGGCAGGCTGGAAACTCAGGCAAGTGTTGAGGCTCCAGTTTTGAGGCAGAGTTTCTTCTTCTATAGGAAAACTTTGGTTTTGCAGTTAAGGCCTTTCAACTGATTAGATGAGGCCCACCCAACTATGGTGAGTCATCTCCTTTACTTAAAGTCAACTGATTGTGGTTGTTTACCACCTCTACAGAAGACCTTCACAGCAGCACGAGGTTAGTGTTTGGTTGGATAACTGGGTGCTCTAGACTAGCCAGGCTGACACAGAAATTCACCAGGACAGCTGTACCTGCCCGTATGGGGTAGTGATAAGTAAGTGCAGTGTGGGAGAGGAAAGCAGGGTGAGGGGGTCAGGGAGCCCTCAGCAGGGGGACAACAGGTGACCCACATGTGGGAAATACAGTATGTCATTCGAGACAAACGGGAATGAAAAATAAATAAATGAACATACCTCGGCACTGCGCTCAAAAAGCGCAACTAAAGTCCTCATTTGGTTACACACCTGCTTGATCATGACCGTCCCACGTGGCAACCAAGATGGGAGAGACGCTGTGTGTATCACTCTCTTTGGGGCTGCTTGACACAGCCAAAGCGAGCCTTTCTAGTGTCGGCGTCCTGTTCATTCTGCAGACATGAATCCCTGTTGCCACAGTCTCCCCCCAACTCCCAGCTTCTATGATGCTCTGCCCTCACCCAACCAGGGCTCCCAAGGCGCACGCCTCTTCTCCCCTGACCTCCCCTCCTACCTGCCCCTCTTCCCCCAGCTCCATCCCACTGGCCTCTTGCTGCTTCCCCAGCACTCCCACCACTTCTGCCTCAGGGCCATTCCTCTTTCTGCTCCCTTGGCCTGGAAGGGTCTCCGCTCAGCCATCTCCTAGGCTCTCATCCTGCTCAGAGAGGCCGACTGTGACCACCTATAAAATAGCACCTCCTTTCGCTTTCTGTCCCTTTAGCCTGTCTTCTTTGTCCTCATAGCACCTACCTTAAATACGCATTTCTTTGTTAATTGTCACCTCCTCTCACTTGAATGCAGGGGGCTGGGACTCTGCGGTTTTTGTATGTGTGTAGTGAAATAACATAAAATTTACCATTTTAAAATGTACGATTTAGTGACCTTTAGGACATTCACAATGTTGTGCAACCATCACCCCCACCTACTTCCGGAACATTTTCATCCTCCAGAAGCCTCATACCTGTTAAGCAGTCGCTTCCCATTCCTCCGTCCTCCAACCCCTGGCAACCTCTAACGTGCCTTCTCCATGGATTTGCCTAGTCTGGACATTTCACGCAAATGGAGTCGTACAATGTGTGGCCTTTTGTGTCCAGCTTCGTTCACTTAGCATCACGTTTCTGAGGTTCATCCATGTTGTGGCAGACGGCAGTACTTCGTTCCTTTTATGGCTGAGTAATATTCCACGGCACCGACATGCCACATTTTGTTTATCCGTCGGTCAGCTGATGGGCATCCCAGCTGTTTGTTCCTTTTGCTATCATGAATCATGCTGCAGTGAGCATCTGCGTCCAAGTGTTTGTCTGAAGGGGCCTCTGTTTGGATCACTCTGTTATCTCTGGCCCATGAACAGACCTGCCCAGGGAAAGGCTCAATAATGAATGGCTGTGGACAGTTTACCCCTCAGACAAATAAATAAAGACAAGGTTCAGGCCTCTAACATCCTCAGGCTGCAGGCCCCGCCATGCGCCCACTCTACCACAGCCCGGGCCCTAGACCACGTCCTTCCCTTCCCACTCCCACACTCTCAGTGTCCTCGAGCTGCACTGCACCCAGCAGTGGGGCAGGGGTCCGGCCGGGCTCCTCCCCAGCTCCCCACTCCCCAGAGGTAAGCGCCTCCAGGCAGGGGAGAGAAATGGGCCCTTCTGAACTCTCATGCAGTCCCAGGGTCCCCCCAAAAAGCAAAGCATCACTATCTTCAGGTAATGTCTGATTAGTAGGCTAATAGGATGCTGGACATTTCTTTGGATGGGATAAAAATCTCAAATTTCACAATTAGGAATAAGACCCTAAAAAAGGTAATGACCCTGGTGTTGGTTTCCTAGGGCCGCCAGAACAAAGTACCCCAAACTGGTGGCTTAAAACATCCGAAGTTTAGGCTCTCACAGTTCCGGAGCCTAGAAGCCTGAAATCAAGGTGTTGGCAGGACCACGCTCCCTGAGAGCTCTCATGGAGGATCCTTCCCTGCCTCTTCCTAGCTTCTGGTGGCTTCCAGCAATTCTTTGGCTCACAGCCGCATCACTCGGATCTCCGCCTCCATCTTCACATGGTGTTCTTCCCTGGTGTCCTCACACCATCTTCTTACGAGGACACCAGACATGTTGGATTAAGGGCCCTTCGTGCCCCAGCATGGCCTGACCTTATCTGATTACATCTGCAATGAATTTATTTCCAAGTCAGGTCTCGTTCTGAAGCACTGGAAATTAGGACTTCGACATATCTTTTGGGGGATACAATCCAACTCATAACCTTGGAGAAGGATATGGAGTACATATCCTTGATTTCACTAAATGTAAATGATCGAGAAGGTATTGGGGGCAAGGGACCTCCATGGGAATGAAGAGAGGAGAGGACCATGCAAAGGCAGGTTGCTTCCACTCATGAGGAGAAAGCCGGTGAGAAAGAGGAGGAGGGAGCCACAAAGGCTGGTTTCTTTGTCTTTCTTGTCATTTAGCTGAAGGCCAACCCTGCAGCGGGCCCCGTGGCAGAACAGAGAGAGGGGGCATCACAGGTCTCCTAGAGGAAACCTTCTAATCCTCAGACCAGCTCACTCCTCTGCTCCAAACCCTTCAGGGGCTCCTTTTATCTGGTGGCCTAAAGTCCACGAGGCCCCACGCCACGCAGCCCCCAACTCTGCACACGCTTCACCTCCATCACTACCCCCGCTCTCTCCGTGCCAGCCTCACCAGGCTCCCTGCTATCCGTGAAAGTGCCCAGCAGTCTCCTGCCCTCAGGCCTCTTTCCTGCTCTCCCCCTTCCTCTGAAGGAATGTTCTTCCTTTAGAGACCTCCGGGATCTAACTGCATCTCCTCAGGCCCTCCCCCACCACCTGCCCCGACTGCCCCCCAGCACTGTCCACGCCCTCACCTTGCTCGTTGTTGCCACAGCACTTACCACCCCTGCTACACCAGCATTGCCTATTTCCTGTCTGTTCTCCTCCACCAGACTCTACACAGCACGTGGGCAGGGAACTTGAGTTGTGTTGGTCACCGCCATATGCCGGGCCCCCGAGATGTGCCTGGCATGAATTAGGCGTTCAGTAAAATTTCAGATGAAGGAAACGCTTCTGCCCCACCATGTGCTTGGATAGTCTTGACGCTACTTAGAGGACCTCTGTGACTATATGGGGCCCCACTGGATCATCCAGGACAATTTCCCCATTCAAGATCCTTAACTTAATCATATCTGCAAAGTCTCTCTTGCCATGTAAGAACACATTCACAGGTTCCAGGCATGAGGACATATCTGGGGCCATTCTTCACCTACCACAGGCAGGAAGAGAGGCCGGCTCCTCAATCGTTGTCGTGACGTCCAAGGGCTGCCATGCCACTAGTGCTGGGCCACCCACCCCACCCTCCTGAACTGGGGCCCTGCCTCACCAGGTGCTGCCATCAGCCTCTCCCCAACCCCGGTTCAGGCCCTCCCGACCAGATGGCACCCCGCACACATGCTCCCCCCTCTCTCACGGTCCCCGAGCATCTGCAGGCCCTGGTTACAGTCGCCTCTTCCTCCAAAGGCTGAACCAGGCTGGGCAGTCTCAGGACCAGCGTCGCCAAGGCTGGGACAGCAGCACCCTCTTGGACTTGGCTTAGGAGGGTGTAGACACAAGGGGCGGTGAGAGGTACAGCTGGTGCCCCCAGGTCTCTTTGGCACTTTTCTTTCTATTCATTCACCTCCTGCTTCTTCTCTCCTAGGACGCATTCTTTTCTCTCTCTTATTCTCCATCCTCCCCCACCTCAGCTAGTGACACCAGGGACACAGAGCACTTTCCGTACTCAGTGCATCGAGGAGAGAGAGTTCACTGAGCCTTTGCCATTTCTCTCTCTCTCACACACACACAAACGTGCACACAGAATCACATTCTGAATCGCATTCTGAACCGTGTTCAACGGTAAAAGAGGCCGAGGGCACGGACCCTGCCCTGCCTCAGCCTGTGTGAGGACAAGAGCTGCAGAGCCAGAGGGCCCGCTCCCGGTGCCAGCATCATCCCTGACTGTCTGTGAGACCTGACCCCATGACGCTCAATGTCCTCACCTGTAAAATGGAGATAATGTCCCTATTGGGATGCCACACCCATTTGTGGTCCCCAAAATCCTGGCATAACTTTAAAAAATATCCTTGATGTGGAAGAAGCTGTAACAACTGGACAAGGAAGAAACAGAGAACACAGCTGCAGGGACCTCAGGAGATTCAAGGGGCACCTGGCGTCAGAGGTCGGGGGCATGCACGGCGTCCAGACCAAGCCTTGACCAGAACCAGCTCCAGCTTTCACGCCAGCGTTACACGCTGGAATAGCCTCAGACCTCTCCCCACTCTCCCCTCCTCGGACCCCCACACAGCCCATGGGGGCAGCAGAAGGGGTCTCTGGAGTTCTCTTGTCCTGTTTTACTACACACTGGAAGGTTCGGTATTGCCCTCTGAGGAAACCACTTCCCTAGGTGGTCCAGTCAGTGAAGGCTGGTTCCACTCGGGACGGTACAGTGCTGTGGATGTCTGACCTCCTTCACACTCTGCCTTGAGATGCCAAGTAGAGACAGGGGGAAGTGAGGAGAGAAGAAAGCATCCTTTTCACATTGATGGTTGTCTGATTATTAGTATAATTGCTCAGCAACTAACCCTCAGGTCGGTTGTATAGGTGTCCTGAGACAATGTGAGGAAAGCACATAACGAGCCCTCAGTAGAAACTAGTTTTTTTCCCCATTTACTGCCTTGTGGGGTGAACTTGTGCAAGTGCCCCGAAATCTCTGAGCCTCGGTCTTGGGTTAAACGGGCTGCCCATTGGCCTACCTACCTCACAAGACCCAAATGCAATAATGTGTGTGAGGGTCACCATGAAATGACAGTAAGACACCATACAAAAGTGTCAATAGGAGAACAACGAGAAATAAAGAAAACAAAACAAAATAATTGGTTAGGTGGTGTATTGGCCTCCTAGGCTGCCATAACAAAATACTACAAACTTAGTGGCTTCAAACAACAGAAATTTATTGTCTCACATTCCAGAGGCCAGAAGTCCAAAATCAAGGTGTTGGCAGGGCCGTGCTCCCTCTGAAGGTGCTAGGGAAGGAACTGTTCCACGCTTTTCTTCCAGCTTCTGGTAGCCTTGAGTGTTCTTTGGCTTACAGATACATCACTTCACTCTTCCGTCTTCACATGGCGCTTTCTCTGTGTCTTTATGTTACTTTCCCTCTGAGTGTCTCTGTCTCTGTGTTTTGAAATGTGTCTGTGATTTTGGTTTTATTCAGGTATGGTGAGCCCAACAGATCAGGAGACGATTGTCTTTGAAAAGATAGTTTGTTACTCATAGTTCCCACGAGGAGGGGGCACAGCATGCCACGCAGGGCCACAGAGGGAAGCAGCAGCGCTGGTGAGGAGGCAGAAGGAGCGAGGAGAAAGTGTGGGCAGGAGTCCTTATTGTGGTTTTCATGGGAAGGAAGGAGGAAAACAAGGTGCGCAAGCTGAGCAGGTTTCGGATTGGATGGGTTGAATAATGTCAGCAGGCTCTGGGCTGTGGGGGTGCTCCTAGTGGTCCCATGCTGCCCTTGGGTGATTAGGAATATTGCCATTGCCTCCTGGAGCGTAAGAGCCAGACAGAGGAGGTGGTTTGGAGAATGGGCTCCAGATGGGTGAGGATGCATGAAGGGTGTGGTTCTGTGCAAGTCATTTGCTATCTCTAGGGACTGGCTAGCCCTGGGAGGGGCAGTCCCACTCCAGTCACCAAAGCCCCAGATGCCAGAGCATCAAAAATGCAGAAAATAAGAAAACATAGCTAATACACTCTGTGTCCAAATTTCCCATTTTTATAAGGACAGTAGTCATATCGGATTTGGGCTCACCCTCATGACCTCATTTTAATGTGATTACTTCTATAACAATGCTATTTCCAAACAAGGCCACATGCTGAGGTACTGGAGATTCAACACATCTTTTTCAGAGGACATAATTCAACCCACACAGACAAGGAACACTAAACTTTTTCAGTCAAGGGCCAGATAGTGAATGTTTTAGACTGGAGGGCCATATTTCCTCTGTCACAACTACTCAGCTGCTGTTGTGCCAGGAAAGCAGCCACAGACCATGTGTAAATGCATGAGAATGGCTGTGTCGCAATAAAACTTTATTTACAAGAACAGGCGGTGGGCCAGATATGGCTCACAGGCCATGGTTTGCCAACTCCTAGGTTAGGAGACAAATTTTCTAAACAAGAAATAAGGGGTTCAGGCAGGCTTTCTGAGAGAGGGGATTCAGCAAGGAAATAGAGCTCAGGAACAAAATTTGAGTCCCCAGAAGTGCAAGGGGCGGAGTCAAGGCAAGTTTAGCACAGGGTCTGGGCTCAGGGATGTGGACTCAGAGCTGGTCAAGGCAGGAAATAAACCCACATGGTTTGGTTTGAGGCTGAGTTCGTAACCACCAGCCACACACCTCCCAGAGAGGGTCTGGTCACTCCAGATGACAAGGCTGGGGTGGCTGGGCATCTAGAGGGCCAGAGCGCCTGGAAAGAAATGATGGAGAGCAGAAATGGGTGGGTCATTAGAGTCCATGGACCTCAGGCTCTCCACTGAAACAGCCCTAGGGAGGGAGCTTTATTAACACCCTGAGAGCTGTACTTGGAGTTAACAAAGCCTCTATGAATTGTGTTAAACATAAATTAATAAATAAGCCTCCAGGGACTCAGTTCACCAGAATTGTAAAGAAACGAAAACAGAAACGAGGTCAAGATACTAATGGCAAGACGCTAATCGTGCTTGTTTAGCTGCATCATAAAACTTCACCCTTCTTGGCCTGGCATCTTTACACCTCATTGAAAATCCATTAAAACAATGGCAGGGCCATTAACCCTGACGTTCGGGCAGAAGCTTCCCGTGGGTGGTTTTTGACTAGGGTCCCTTCATTAATACTTAGCGTAATTGCTTGTGAGCTAGATAATTGTGATTATATACCACTGTTTAAATATAGAGGGGGAGCACTGAAGACTCAATCTTTTCTTTGCATCCTTTTAATTTTTTAATATGCATGGACTCATCCCCCTCAGGCAAGATAATATATTAAAATTTGAATTTTTAAAACAGAGGGCTGATGACTCAATTTACAAAAGAACTCACTATAGGATTTCTTAAATAATGAGCTCCCAGAGCAATCAAAATTATTTTATTTACGAAAATTCAATTTGCCAGCATCTTTTCCACATTACGACCCAAGCATAAAGGTTATATTTGAAAAAGAAACACAGCTGCTAATGAGTAGCTAGTGAGGCTGAGCGGAAAGCTGAAGGCTTGTGTCTATAAACAGGGTAGTGGCCAGAAGACAGATTTTAAGGGTACCCTGAAGATCAGCCTCAAAACCTGGGGTAGGGCTGTGACCTGATAGGACACGCAGCGCAGACCAGCGAGCCAAGGGGAGTGTCAATCAGGGATGAGGGGACCCAGAGACCAGACTGCAATTTGGAGCTACTGCGATAGATGCTCCTTCTGTGTGTGTACAGAGGGGGAAGCCCCTGGCTCACAGAAAGGAGGCTCCTCCCTCTCTGTGCCTCCCCCCACCCACCCCCCCGCCACATGCAGTGAGGCAAACCTACGCAGCAGCATTTCAGATACACCTGATGTAAAGCCCCGAGGATGTCAAAGACCTTTTCCATAGAACAGTGGCATCTCTGTCAGTATGTCATCAGCTTCCATTGTTCTGCATTTAAAACCAGCCACGCGAAATTGCAATGCCATCTTCCAGGTGCGTGGCATCGAAGTCTTAGGTTCTATTGAGTAGTAATTTGTTATAATTATTGCTAATAACTGAACTTTGCTAACGATTTACTCTTCTCTTTTAGTTGTGGTCGTTAAATTCCAAGTTACCCCTATATTCACATCATGCTCATTCGCTTGGATTTTCAATGAGGTGTGAAGATTTCCTTGTGCTTTGTGAGACAGAGAGAAAGGTGTAGAGTAGACACTCTGAGAATTGCCCAGTAGCCTCGCCACACAGGCGCATGTCCCATCTGTGACTGTCAATTGTCCAAGCTGGGGGGAAAAGCCGCCTAGCGTGGTGACTTCCAGGATTTGATACATCACACGCCAGCAAAATGTGCATGCAAAGTTCAGGGCCCTGGGGAGAATCATGAATGTTTTATTTGCAAAATAAGAACACTTGATCAATAATCTGTTACCTCTTATGATCGTCATTTCATACAAGAACGAGTATATTAACCCCGACAAAGTCAGAAGGACAACCTCCAAGTATTTCCTCAAACAAGATAGGTGATAATCTCACATTGACCTATATATTAAAAAAACATGGTTCACATTTTTCTCATTTTGCTGCAGATTGGTCAGAATGTTCCTCATGGACCTACAAACATCAGTGCAATGACAGGGACAGACAGAGTTTGGAACCCACTGCCCTAGACCTTGGCTGTCCAATTCAGTGGCCACTACTTACACAGGGCTGTTGAGCACTAGCACTGTGGCTGGTCTGAACTGAGATGTGCTGTAAGTGTAAAATCCACACCAGATTTCAAAGCCTCAGTACAAAAAACAAATGAATGTATAACATCTTCGTCATTTTTATATTTATTACATGTTGAAATGATCATATTTTGGATATATTAATATATCATTCAAATGAATTCAACATGTTTTTTATTTTTTAAAAAATGAGGCTAATAGAAAAATTTAAATTACTGTCTGGCTCATACTATATTTCTACTGGACAGTGCTGCCTATATGATCAGCATCAAGTGGAGAATGTTAGATGCCACAGAGGTAGATTATAGCCTCTGATTATATTCATATATATCTTATATATTTGGCATTGAAATACCTAGTAAATAGGACTTGAATTTATGTTTTCACGCAGGGCAGGGAAGCCATGACTATGGGAACCTGAATGTGCTCGAGACAACCTCGTCGTGGGGCGTCTTTACTTAGGGTTCCAGATTATACACTTGATGCCCACTATGGCCACTAGAGGGCAGTAGCGTATATAAAAATGTGAGCTTTCGCACACCCCTTGACTGAGAAGACCTCGCAGGCTCGGCTCTTAAAGGAATGCTGTGATGATTGTTACAGCTGATCCTTTTCCGCTCTCTGTTAAGCGCTGTATGCTGTCGGGGGAGGCGGAGACCACAGATGACTGGGCAGAGCCTGAGCCGACCCTTAAACTGTGAGTGAGGCTCAGACAGAGCAGCAAAGCAGGAAAGCCATTCTGAATGAGAAATTGTGTGTAAAGGCAAATGTTCGAACACTCAGGCTGTAGCGTCAGGTTTATTTTCCTGGCTCTGCTACTAACGAAATGTGTGGCCCGAAGCAACTCACTGGGCCTCGGAGTCTTCCTCTGTGAAACGAGGAGGTGGAGTGAAGTGAGCTCTAAGGCATCCCCTACAACCTCAGCATTCTGTACCTTCAAGAGCAAAGCCTGTGAGCCCCCTGTTATCACAGGCTTGATGGGGAGTCAAAGGGAGTAGTAACTATAGGACTTGCAGGCACAGTGGTGCTGTAAATTCATGCTTTAAACCTCCCTCTGCTCCAAACACTTAACAATAACAGATAAAATACAGAAATTAAAGAATTGAAAGTCAAAGACTTGCTCAAAAAGGTCAACATCTCCGAGGATCAGTACAGTAGAGACACAACACTGTAAGCTGGGAAGATGCTGTGGGACTGAGGCTCCAGGGCAGGAAACAGGCAGAGGTAGTGAGGAGCTTTTCTCCTGTGGTGAGATGGGAACTACCACGTGAGGAGGTATCCCCAAACCAGGGACTGTGTGGGGCTCTCACATGCAAGAACCAGGGGTATGAAATACATAACAAACCGCTTCCGGGGACTGAGGCTTATACAAAGCTTCTTAACCCCAAATGAGGAGGAACCTGGCCCCCTGGCCCAGGGACGGGATCAGCAATATCCCCAAATCACGACAGCATGGCTACCTGAGCTGACGATAGAAAATCTGGTTCTGTGGAGGCCAAGAGGAAGCAACTGCAAAACCACTAGGTTGGGTGGGGCGAGCACAAGAGAGATTAAAATTACTAACAATAACTCACCTCAGAGAAAGACTAAGAAAGGCAGTCAAAAATTGCAATTAAAATGATGCAATGGCAGGAAGCAAATTCACTTCAGACGAAATGAAAATAGTAAGGTGATCTGATTGACTTTTAAAATAAGAATACATTATTTATTCAGCAAATATTTTAAGCGCCTATAATGTCCTAGATACTGTTTTAAGTGCTGAGGATATAATAATAACCAAAAGAAAGTGCCCACTTGGAACTGACATTCTAGTGGAAGAGACAGACAATTTTTTTTAAATTGCATAGTAGGCCAAGTAGTAACAGTGCTATGAACAAATCTTTAGGATCCTTGAAGATATAAAGGAGTGATTAACAACGATATATAAAAACATAAATTATGAAGCAAAAATAGGCAAAATTAAACAAAAGCAAGTTATGAGAAAGAACTAATTGAAATGAAAAATATACGCATTGAAATACATAAACTCAGTAGTATTGGATAAATGCTATGAAGTCATAGTGCAAGAGAGATTCATTAATTAGAAGGTGGTATGATACTGAAGAAATCACCCATAATGCAGCACAAAGAGAGAAAATCTATTTTTTAAAAATATGAAAGAGCAATTAAGAGGCATAGAAGGTAGACCGACAGGCACCAACCTAGAGCTAATAGGAATTCCAGAAGAAAAGAATAGAAGGAACGAGAGAGAAGTGATGTCCAGAGAGATAATACCTGAAGTTTTCCAGTATTAAAGTTAGACTTCACCAAGAACTCTAGATATGGAGCTATAGGAACTTGCATTTTCGCTATGATGTATCTAGGTGCCCACATATTGTAGTGAACCTGCAAGACACACAAGGATAAAGAAAAATTTATACCCAAGAAAATAAGACTACCTACAAAAGAAGGAAAAACTGATGTTAGCAACAGATGCCAGAAAACATGGAAGGAAGCTTGCAAAGTGCTGAGAGAAAATTACTAATCAACATAGACTTCTATACCCAGCGAAACTAGCATTCATTCAAGACTGAGAAGAAAATATATATAGTTTTCAAGCATACAATAATTTAGAGAAATTACAGCCCAGGAGCCCCAGGTAAAAGAATTACTAAGGAATGAAATCACAGCGGAAATTACAAAAATTTGGAACTGAACAACGAAAGCACAATCTATCTGAACAGTAATAACAATAACGGCCAGGATATGTTGCTTCCAGCTATGAGCCTGGAATTACATCTCTCTCAGCGTCAGCTTATGGACTAGGTATTGTTAACTCCTTTGTAAGGATGAGAAAACTTTTTGGTAGAACAAGATAATCATGCTGCTCTGGACTGAATGTTTGGGTCCCCCCCAAATTCTTATGTTGCAGCCCTAAGCCCCCATGTGATGGTATTAGAGGTAGGCCTTTGAGGAAAAGTTAGGTTTAGATGAAGTTATGAGGGTGGAGCTCCCACGATGACATTAGTGCCTTTATAAGAAGAGGAAGAGACACCCAAGCTTCCCCTCCCCGCCATGTGAGGGTGTAGTAACAAGGCAGCCGTCTGCAAACCAGGAGGAGGGCTCTCCCCAAAACCCAGCCATGCTGGCACCCTGATCTCAGACTTCCCAGCCTCCAGAACTGTGAGAAATAAACATCTGTTGCTTAAGCCACCTAGTCTGCAGGATTTTGTTACAGCAGCCCAAGCTAAGACATATGCATAACAGTCTGGGTCTGCACAAAGATAGGGAGCCAATGAAGCAAGAAGGGAGGTGCCGGTGGCATTTTACTGACCCTTAGGGACGAGAACAGGGGGCCTGTGGCAGGGACCAGCAGCTGTTCAATGGGGAGGAGCTGGATTTACTCTAACTCAGAAATTCATGCTGGTGATCACCTCTGCCCTTCTCACCTTTCCCCTAGGCCCAGGCTGAGTTTGCCCCAATTTAAACATTACATTATCAGGAACACCTGCCCAGCTGGTAGCCAGAACTGGGTTTTCAAAGCTGTAAATAAAGAGGCATTTATGGGAACCACATATTTGGACTGAGGTTCCCAAATCTGGATGCACCCGGGAACCTCCTGGGGAGCTTTCAGATATACCCATGCCCTCCCCTCAAGATCTGTCCTCAGCTGACCTGGGCTGCTACCTGGGCAATAGGATTTTTTAAAGCTCCTGGTGGTGGGGGGGGGGGTGGGCAGTTGGGGAGTTGTGGGGGGGCGGGGATACTGGTGTTCAACCACAGCTGAGGACCGCTGGCCTGGAACTGGGTAGGACAAAGGAAAACGTTCTTGCTGCCCAAAGGGCTGAATCTGGGGACAGAGGGCTGTCAGCCCTTATCCATACCCAGCACCAGCACCTTGGCAAACTTCAAAGCCTGCTGTTCTGACAGCTTTGGGAACCGCTTCCCCTTTCCTTGAAGGAAGAGTGTAGGTCTTCTCTGAAATCAGAAAAGAGGAAGCACACAGTGCTTGTCAGCAAAGCTAGCAATGCTCCCACAGTGGGTGAGGGGAGCTTCCTCTTCTCCTGACATGGACAGAGTTAAAGGCCAGCAGCCTAGAATTCAGGGCGGTATGAGGAGGCACTTCAGTTCCCCATGTGCATGGCCTCACGTGGAAATGACCAGACAACATAAGTTCTGTTAAACCTTAAGCCCTCGCGTGTAAAAACCACTTCCCCCTTTTTCCCATCTGTCTCTCCCTATCCGCCACCCCCACCTCTGTCCCCACTGTTCTCTAAATCCTGGTCCAGCTTGGCTCACTCACACCTCCCAACTCCCTCCTCATCACTGCCCTGCCTAGCACCTGCAGGCACCTGGCCGGTGCTCCTGCCCCCTGCCTCCCCCACACCACCCTTCCCAGCCCTCACCCTGCCACCCCTGCCAGTTCAGGGTCCTGGGTGCTCATTTCCTCGGCCAGGACCCAGGCTAAGGCCTGAGTTTGCAGCAGGCCCTGCAGAGGCTGCCCGCGCTGGTGGCTCCCCACCCCAGACCTTCTCGCGGAAGGTGGAATTGTCTTCCTAAGCCGCCATGTGTTGACTGAGGCATCTTCCTGTGTTCGTGACTCCCAGTTGCTGATTACATAAACCCCACCTCCTCAGCAGAAGCTTCAGGTCTTCCTTTAGCTCCCCGCACCCCTTCCCTCCCCATCGCCTGTGGCTCCTGGGCTTGGGCTCTCCACCCTCACACAGGAGGTTACCAGTGCCCTCCCCTCCTCTCACCACTGGCTTCAAACTTAAAGCTCTGAGCCAAACCCAATTCCTCCTCTCCTCCTTCACGAACCCTCATTGTGTCCCACCCCCTTCATCTCCCATGCCCCAGCCACTCCTGCTCCCCATGCAAGTGTTGTCTAGGTCCTCAGGGCTCTCCTAGGGCGAGGACTGTCTGCCTTGTCACCCTCTTCTCCCTTCTCCCTTGAGTTCATCCTGGGACCCTAAGAAGGAGCAGAAGCTGAAAGAACCATGAGGTGACTGTACTCACTTCATCACCAGACTTGCCCCACTGTGCCCTGTACCTAGCAGGTACCTAGGAAAGGAAATGGTGTGGCCTGAGCAGCCCAGGAGAGAAAGCCGGAGCATCCTGGCCAAGAGGGACTGCCTGCCCACTGGGGCCCGGGGTTCTGGGGCCCTGCTTCCTAACGACAACCTGCTGCTCAGATATTCCCCTAGGACTACACATATCACCCAGCAGCAAAGATCTCGGGGCTTCCTGCCTGCCAGGTAAGTTCTTTCCTTCACTGTCAGAGCACCTGGTGATGCGGGGCCCTGCGCTGGACATAGAGGTACAAAGTTGGAGGACAGGGCCAGCCTTGTCGGGGCTCCCAGGGAAGTGGGTGCACAGACAGGTCAAGAACTGTGACCATACAGTGTGCTGATGATTGCCATGAAGCAGAAGGAGGCGGGGAAGGCACCGAGGAGAAAGATGACCTCTGCGGGCACATGGACAGCTTGAGCCTCACTCGACAGCCTGACACTCTGGCTTTGGTTCCCCTCTCCTCCCACTCAGCATCACACTCTCACATTCTCTCTTGTGTTGGGAGCTGGGTCCTGGTCCTCTACCGGCCTGTCTGCTTTTCTCTCTGACACTTGTTCACCCACGGTCCCTTCTGCTCTTACAGCTGTCACCACCCTACCCCACCCCTGGTCATCCTCAGCTTCATGCCACATAGCCAACTGCCTTTGTGACTTCTCCACCCCATGGTCACGACCCCACCTCAAGTGCATCTCCTCTCCCCATAAACTAAGGACCCCTCTGAATGTTTCTGCCCAGTATCCCGACCACCATCTCTTGCAGTGGCCATCCTTGACTCATCCTCCAGAATCCAAGCTGCCGCCAGATCTCGGCTATTCTTCTCCTGGTCCTTCCTGCCCACCCCTTCCCTACTTTCCTGCTCCAGCTGGGGACACTTGGCCTAAGTCCAAGCCTCTCACTTGGCCTGACCTGTTTACCCCACAACACCCTCAGCATCCTATCACTCCGTCTCACACAGGGCTGCTAAGAAAATCACCCTGAGACCCTGCCCTGCATATGTCACTGCCCACCCCTCTCAAAAACCTTCAGAAGTCTCCATTGCCCACAGGACTCTGCATTCAAAGATGCTCCCCCTCTGACCCCCTCCAGCATCCTTTCTCCTTCCTGCACACAGAAGCCCTCCACCCCTCAGGCTGTTGCCTTCCTGGAGTGCCTTCTCCTCTTTCTCTCTATTAGGTGAGTGGGATCCTTCCTTTGAGAGCCAGAGCAAGCCCCACCTCCTCCAGGAAGCCTTCCTGAGAGCCCCAAGCATCAGTGTGCCCCTTCCCCAGCACTCCCATGGCACTGGCTGTCTGTGATACTCCCTCCCTCAGAGCAGCCGCTGCCTGGAGAGTCTAAATTGTCTTTCTGTGCACAGTCCTGTCTCCTCACACACGGTCGGTCCCTCTCAGGCTGGAACCATGGCTTCCTCTGAGCTGAACCACCGGCACAGTGGGCTGCACAGACAGAGAATTTCTCTAAGATCATGCTGCGTACTCAGGGTGTTCTGTTCAACAATTTGCTGTCCCCATCCCCCCTTTTGGAAAGTGGTCTTCAGAAGGCCAGAGACCTGCTCCATCCCATGACGTGCCAAAGCAAATGGGACACTGGAATGAGAGGAAAGGTGCCTGACTTGTCCTGCCCCGTCAACCAGAGAGGGCCATGTATGCTCAGAGCTCAGCACCGAGCATCACAAGCATCCCCTCGAAGGAAGACAAGAAGGATGCCCCCTCCTCTAGGGCTTAGAGCCAAGCTGACTTGGCAGTCCTTAAGAGACCACGCCATCCCTCACTGACGGAGGAGGCACTGGCGTGAGCCAACTTACTGGGTCCAAATTCCCACCCAGGCAGCCCTGCCTGAAGGTCCAGAGGAGTTTCCCAGGTTCCTGGGCCTTGGCTGATCTGGAGGGAGGCTGGGGAAACCTCCCTTTCAGGTCTTAAGTCAGAACCTAACACACAGTTGATAAATGGCGGCTGATGCTGTGGTTGCTACAGGATGCTGTGGTTGTGTGGAGGTTGTGTGGTTCTGCAGATGTGGTTGTTGCTGTTGTGTGCTTGTGTGGTTGCTGCAGTTACAATTATTGCAGTTGTAGCTGTGTGGTCATGTGGTTGTGGTTGATGCCATTGTGGTTGATGCAGTTGTGGTTGCTGTGGAGTTTGTGGTCATGTCAGTTGTGTGGTTCTTGCAGTTGTGGTTGTGCGGCTGTGTGGTTGTGGCAGGTATCCTGGCTCTTCCTTCACAGCCTGAGGAGCAGCCAGCACTCTGGAGGGGTGGCCTCTTGACACCTGACACCGTCTCATCTCAGAGCCAGGCTGTGCTCAGGAAAACAGAAAGGAAATCTCCTGGTGAGCGGATCTTGG